AAAAAAAAAAAAAAAAAGATGAAGACAAATTATATATGTGTGATACTTTGACTTCTCGAAACCTCTTTTTTTTTCCTTCTTTGAAATAGGGTCTCACACTGACACCCAGGCTGGAGCACAGTGGTGTGATTTCAGCTCACTGCAACCTCAAACACCTCTTGAAGTGATCCTCCCACATCAGCCTCTGAGTAGCCGGGACTATAGTCAAAAACCTTTTTCTTTTTTTTTTTTTTTTGATGGTTTTTTTTTCTTTTTTTTTTTATTTTATTATTTTTTGAGATGGAGTCTCCCTCTGTCGCCTAGGCTTGAGTGCATGGCACAATCTCAGGCACTGCAACCTCTGCCTCCCAGGTTCAAGCGATTTTCATGTCTCAGCTTCTCAAGTAGCTGGGACTACAGGCGACCACCACCTTGCCTGGCCAATATTTGTATTTTTAGTAGTGATGGGGTTTCACCATGTTGGTCAGGCTGGTCTCGAACTCCTGACCTCAGGTGATTCACCTGCCCTGGCCTCCCAAAGTGCTAGGATTACAGGTGTGAGTCACCATGCCTGGCCTCAAAAACCTTTTAGTACCTTATTTTATTTTGAGTTTTAGAGGCAGGGTCTGGCTCTATTACCCAGGCTGGAGTGCAGTGGTACAATCATAGCCCACTGCAGCTTCCAACTCCTGGGCTAAAGCCATTTTCCCCCACCAGCCTCCTGAGTAGCTAGGACTACAGGTGCATGCCACAACACCAGGTTAATTTTTAAAATTTTCTGTAGGGATGGGGTCTTGGTATGTTGTCCAGGCTGGTCTCGAACCCCTGGCCTCAAACTATTCTCCCTCCGCAGCCTCCCAAAATGCTGGGATTATAGGCATGAGCCACTGCACCCAGCCAAAAATCTTTTAATACTTCATCTTACTTTTTCCCTATGGCAAACTTTTTAAGTTGGTATTATGATTAGCTCCAGTTTATAGATAAGGAAGTAATTTCTTGAAGGCTGCTGAGTTATTAAAAATGCAGATTCTGGACTCGAGCTTCATTTTCTGGCTCCAAATCTCGGGATCATTTAATTGTACCCTGCTCCTTGAGAAAACATCTTGAAAAACACAAAGTACCTCACAATGTAAGGAATTAGCATTAATATTCTGGAAGAGATGTGTGGAACTATGCATAAATCTTCAGAAGACAGCTGCATGCGGGCAGATCGGAAACTGGAAGGAAACACCAGATTCTCTGATCCTGTCTTTTGCAAATGTTGAGTGAGCAGCTGCTTAAACCTTTCAGGACAGAAGAATATCTAGTCATTTTTCTGTCGTGTCTAAGACTAAAGCTTTTACAATCTTCTTTGGCAGACCATTCCGGCACTGTGTTTACCTTTTCTTCATGACATAACTAATAGGTCTTTATGTTCTTCATAAATAGCTCTAGGACTGGCTTTGTCATTTCACTGACTCTTCTGTCCTTGTATAATGTTCTGGGTATGCTGACTTAGGTTAGAAAAGCAGCTTGCTTTTTATGAGAATCCCAGTTTCTTTTCCTTTGGTTTCTTCCTATTAGTCACCCAGGCTGGAGTGCAGTGACTCCATCTTGGCTCACTGCAACCTCTGCCTCCCAGGTTCAAGCAATTCTCCTGACTCAGTCTCCCAAGTAGCTGGGATACAGGCATGCACCACTACTCCTGGCTATTTTGTGTTTTTAGTAGAGATGGGGTGTCACCATGTTGGCCAGGCTGGTCTTGAACCCCTGACCTCAAGTGATCTGCCTGCCTCAGCCTCCCAAAGTGTTGGGATTACAGGCGTGAGCCTGAAGTTTGGTTTTTCAACATTGATTCTAAAAACCCAACTTGATTAATTCCTTCCCTCTTCCTTTCTTACTTTTTCTCCTGAATTTTTTATCCCACAAAACTAATTTGTTTCTAAAAGCCAGAACCAGATTGGATCATCAGCTCTTGTTTATAACCATAGGCAAACTGCTGGTCTCCTCCCAGGCCATCGTGACCCACTCCTGGCTGTTCTGGTTAATCCACTAAAATTAAGCAGTTTAATTTTAAAAATCACTGGAGTGTAGCCTAAGGTGTCTTGGGTGGCTGTGAATGACAGGTAGTAAGGAAGGCCTAGTTTCCTACCCGAAAGAGGACGGAGCGACATCTATTTTACAGTGTCCCAGCGGTGGGAATGTCCAGGAATCTCTTGACTGGGCTGTCCACTGTTTTATCTTCTCCAAAGTCAAGAGGCTTGCCTCAGCCGGGTGCAGTGGCTCATGCCTGTAACCCAGCACTTTGGGAAGCTGGGATAGGAGGATTGCTTGGGTCCAGGAGTTCAAGACCAGGCTGGGCAACATGGTGAAACCCCAACTCTACAAAAAATACAAAAACATTAGCTGGGCATGGTGGTGCATGCCTATAGTCCTAGCTACTTGAAAGGCTGAGGTGGGAGGATCGACTGAGCCTGGGAGGTTGACGCTGCAGTGAGCCAGGATCATGCCAATGCACTCTGACCTAGGCAACAGAGACCCTGTCTCAAAAAGGAAGGAAGGAGGGAAGGAAGGAAGGAAAGAAAAAAGGAAGGAGGGAAGGAAGGAAGGAAAGAAAAAAGGAAGGAGGGAAGGAAGGAAGGAAAGAAAAAAGGAAGGAGCGAAGAAAGGGGCTTGCTTCATGTTCAATAAGTAGTTTTACTCCTCTTTGGGTCTTTTAAAAAATGAACAACTGTTTAGCATTGTTCTAAAAATTCGTCTAATTTAAAGAACAGGCTGGGGACAGTGGCTCACACCTGTAGTCCTAGCACTTTGGGAGGCTGCCGAGATGGGTGATCACCTGAGGTCAGGAACTCGAGACCAGCTGGGCCAAGATGGTTGTATTAGTCAGGGTTCCCTAGAGGGACAGAACTAATTTTATATATATATATGAGTTTAGTAAGTATTAACTCACACGATCACAAGGTCCCACAATGGAC